AGAGTTGGTTTTGAGTGGGAGGTTGGGAGTGGAGTGAGAGGTTGGGAGTGGAGTGAGAGGTTGGGAGTGGAGTGAGAGGTTGCGAGTGGAGTGAGCGGTTGTGAGTGGAGTGAGAGGTTGTGGAGTGAGAGGTGTGTGTGGAGTGGGAGGTTGGAGTGGAGTGAGAGTTGTGGTGGAGTGGGAGGGTTGAGAGTGGAGTGAGAGGTTGGGAGTGGAGTGAGAGGTTGAGTGAGTGGGAGGTTGAGTGGAGTGAGAGGTTGGGGTGGAGTGAGGTTGGTGTTGGAGTGGGAGGTTAGTGGAGTGGAAGAGGTGGAGTGAAGTTGGGAGTTGGGAGTGGAGCTTGAGAGTGGAGTGGAGGTGGGAGTGGAGTGGGAGGTTGTGAGTGGAGTGGGAGGTTGGGAGTGGAGTGAGAGGTTGTGAGTGGAGTGAGAGGTTGTGTGTGGAGTGAGAGGTTGCGAGTGGAGTGGGAGGTTGGGAGTTGAGTGGGAGGTGGAGTGGAGTGAGATGTTGGGAGTGAGTGAGAGGTTCCGAGTGGAGTGAGCGGTTGTGTGTGGAGTGAGAGGTTCCGAGTGGAGTGAGCGGTTGTGAGTGGAGTGGGAGGTTGTGAGTGGAGTGAGAGGTTGTGTGTGGAGTGGGGGGCTTCACGTGGAGTAGAGCGTGAGTGGAGTAAGCTAAGATGTGAGTGGAATAGGCTAATAAGCGAATGAAGTAGAATGTGAATGAGGAGTTGGGTCTGTGTGGAGTAGTGTGAGTACAGTAGAGTTCCAAGTGGAGTGGGACGTAGGTGGAGTAGAGTGTGAGTGGAACAGAATGCGAGAGAAATAGGGCGTGAATGGAGTAAAATTCGAATAAGGAGTTAGGTGCGTGTAGAAGAGAGCATGGGCGTGCAGAGTAGGAGTACGAGAGCTAGGAAGGGGCGTGGGCGTGCAGAGTAGGAGCACGAGAGCTAGGAAGGGGCGTGGGCGTGCGGAGTAGGAGTACGAGAGCTAGGAAGGGCGTGGGCGTGCAGAGTAGGAGCACGAGAGCTAGGAAGGGGCGTGGGCGTGGGCGTGGGCGTGAGAGAACCCGAGCGGCCTGGACGACGAGGGCATCGCTAGGCAACGCGCCCCAGCACCTTCGGCTCGGAAGTGGCGGATCATCCACGCGCGCTCCCCGCTTCCTCTCGCTCCTCCGGCCCCCCGACGCCATCTCTCCACCTCCCCCCCTTTCCCTCCTCTTCTTCCTCATCTTTGCTCTTCCTTCCTGCCCTCTTCCTTCTCCCCTCTTCCCCTCCTCTTCTTCCCTCTTATCCTCTTCTTCCTCCTCCTCCATCCCTTTCCCTCCTGCCGCTTCCCGTCCTCCCCTTTCCCCTCTGCCCTTACCCGTTCCTGCCCTTCCCCTCCTGTCTACTTTCCCCCCTGCCCTTCCCTTCCCTCCTCCTCTTGCCTGTCCTCCACCCATTTACCTTCCCTTCGTACTCCCTCCCTCCTCCTCTTCCTCCCCCCTTCCTCTCTCCCCTTCCCTGCCTTCCCGTCGTTGCCCCGCCTCCTTTTCCCTATCGCCAACACTCCTGCCATCTCCCTTCCAGCCTGGCGAGGAGGGAATCCGTTTGCTCTCGCCAGTGTCTATTCCGCACTGCTCTTTCTGTCTGGTGAAGGCAAGCGGAAAGATAGATAGGATAGACAAAAAGACAAACACACACGAACAAACACGCACACGCACACACACGAACAAACACAAACATGCACACACATGAACAAACACAAACATGGCACACACACGAAAAAAAGCACAAACACACACGAGCAACAACAAAACACGGCTCGTCAATGTTAGATCATACGTATTGAATATATGTCACTCAAATTTATCTTTAAAAACCAACCCGTCAAAAACACACAACGGGAATAAAAAAAAAAAACCAAAAAAAACCAACAAAAAACACTATAACAAAAACGGAAAAAAAAAAAAAGCCAAACACAAAACACGGTTACATGGCACGAACAAGGCAAACACATTCACACAATAACAAACCAACACGTTACATGGATATATCGTACACCACGAAAAAAACACAAACACACAAAGGAGCAAATACAAAACACGTACACACGAACAATCGACAATCAACCAATCAAAACAACATAACAAACACACACACACAAACACACAGCACACGACAAACACAAAACACGCACACACACGAACAAACGCAAACATACACACACGAACAAACACAAACACGCACACAAACACAACCGAAACATCACCACCCCTTATCAACCCACTACAACCCACCTCCATAACCTCAAACTCATAAAAAAAAATAAATTGATCAAGAAATAACCTAAATTTTCGTCGGAATCCAAACCTGTCGCAATTTCGTCGCCCTTCACAGCTCCCGCCTACCGCCCACTGCTATACATTTACGGTTTATTTATGCTTTCCCGTTTTGCTTCCGTGATTATTTCCACGTGTTCACGATCGTAAATCAAGACAACAATACTTTCCCTTGTAATACGTATAGGTGCTGCTCCTAAGCCCCTGCCAAAATCCTACAACTTGCTGCACTTAATACACTGTTGCATCCACTATCAAATCTAACAACCTACTGTATTTACTACAAAACTATACAGTAAGTTCACCTACATGTTATTATTCTCTCGGGCAATCTATACAAAACAAACAAGCGTCGATAAATAGAAATCTGATGCAGTGCCACGAAAGAGTTCCTGATTCCGTTACGATAATAGTTAACAAACAAACAAACAAAACACACGAGCAAGTAACCAGACCGAGATATTCGCAAATACACGGTTGCGCAAGGATGACAGACAGACAGACAAAAATACACACGTAATTCCGTTATAAAAATCCCACACCTTTCCTAACAAACAAACAAATAACCAGGCTGATATATATATATATATATATATATATATATATATATATATATATATATATATATATATATATATATAATATAGAGAAGAGAGAGAGAGAGAGAGAGAGAGAGAGAGAGAGAGAGAGAGAGAGAGAGAGAGAGAGAGAGAGAGAGAGAGAGAGAGAGAGAGAAGAGAGAGAGAGCGAGACAGAAAAAAAAGAGAGCGAGAAGAAAAAGAAAAGAGAGCCAGAGAGAAAGAAAGAAAGAGAGCCAGAGAGCCAAGAAACAGAGATCGACAGATAGACAGATTCGCGAGACAGACACACAGATAGAGAGAGAGAGAACTCGCCGACCCAAGGCTGCGCGGCGATGGACCGAGGCTCGCATGCAAAGCCAGCCCCAGCGACGGCTCATGCGTCAATGCGGGCGTCAAACTTCCTACTTCGAGCTCTCCGAAGCGACGGGAGGGGGGGGGGGAAAGCTCTACCAAAAAAAAAAGGCTTTACTTAGGTAAGAATACCGATAGAGGGGAAGGGGAAGGGGAGGGGAGAGGTACAAAATCAGTCGAGTTTGTGTTTTCAAAAATCCGGCATTTCCCTCTCCTCCTCCTCCTCCTCCTCCTCCTCCTCCTCCTCCCCTCCTCCTCCTCCTCCTCCTCCTCTCCTCTCCCCAAGTGCACCACCCGCTCCCCCCCTCTCCTCCGACTTGTCCGTCTTGCCCACACGGTGATGAGGCGAGAAAAATAAGCCTTCCGAGCATATAAATCTATTATCCGTCAGCACGCACCAACATGACAGGCGACGGGGGAGGGGAGGGGGATCGGAGGGTGGGGGAGGGAAGAGAGGAAAGGGAGAGGGCAAGGGGAAGGGAGAGGAGAAACAAGAAGAGGGGGAGAGGGAGGGGAGAGGAGAAACAAGAGGAGGGGAGGGGAGGGAAGAAGGGAAACGGGGGAAGGGGGAGGGGGAGGGGAAACGGAGGGGCAGGGAGAGGGAAACGGGGGGGGGAGAAGGGAGAGGAGAAAACGGGGGGAGGGGAGAAAGGGAGAGGGAAACGGGGGGGGGCAGGGGAGAGGGGAAACGGGGGAGGAGATACACGTCGACTCCAGCGAGATACGGCGAGGAGAGACCCTTGGCCTACATCCTTTACCCTGGTTATGAGTCAACGCGTCACGATGCTACGACTGGAGGAGGAGGAGGAGGAGGAGGAGGAGGAGGAGGGAGGAGGAGAGGAGGAGGAGAGGAGGGGAGAGGAGAGGAGAGGGAGAGGGAGGAGAGAGGGAGAGAGAGGAGAAGAGGAGAGGAGGAAGAGGAAGGGGAGGGAGGGGAGGAGAGAAGAGGAGGAGAGGGAGGGGAGGGAGGAGAGGAGAAGAAGAAGAAGAAGAAGAAGAAGAAGAAGAAGGGGGTGGGAGGAGAAGCAGGGAGGAAAAGTCAGAAAAAAGAGACCTTACCTGGACAGCATTTCCTCCTCCTCCTCCTCCTCCTCCTCTGCTACACCACCCCTCCCACGTGCCTTCCTCCCCACCTTTTTCTCCTCCCGATTTCCCCCCCTCCCCCCTTTTCCCTCTCCTCGCAAGCACCACCGCACCCCCTGAGATGCGAGCGCCCCGAGGCCCTCTCAAGCACGCTGTTCTGCAAACACCCCCCCCCCCAGGGCACGTTCGCTTCCGATCAACCCCTTGCGTTCTCAGTGACATGAAACCGCAAGCACTGGACGCACCCGCAAGCAAGCAAGCACGAATCATCCTGCAAGCACGCTCCTCGCCCCTCCCCTCCCCTCCCTCTCCCCGCTCACCTCCCTAACCGACGCAATCGGAAGGGTGTGTAAGAGGAGGAGGAGGAGGGGGGGGAGAGGAGGAGGAGAGGGAGAGGGGAGGAGGGGGAGGAGGAGGGAGGAAAGGAGGGAGGGACAGAGCAGGAGGAGGAGAGGAGGAGAAGAAGGAAGGAAGAAGAAGAAGAAGAAGAAGAGAAGGAGAGAGAAGAAGGAGGGGGAGGAAAGAGAAGAAGCAGAAGAAGAAGAAGAAAAGAAGAAGAAGAAAGAAGAAGAAAAGAAAAAAGAAAAAAAAGAAGAAAGAAAAAGAAGGAAGGAGGGAGGGGGAGGAGGAAGGGAATGGGGTCGTCTGAAGCTGGCAGTTACCCAC